CTTTCGAATGATAATAAGCATTCACCATTAAATTTTAATTTCTCTTTTTTTTGTTTTATCTTTAAAAATTTAGAGAACCTCGAAATGGATCACCTTTTGTATGCTAAATCTAATTGTAATAATCACCCTTTAATAATACGTGCAACAAAATGAAAATTTTATTTTGACCGATGTAAGTCCACAGACATTTATGTATTTAAGCATCTAAWAATTTGGCAGTAAAAATAACCTAACAAAAATAGTTACAAATAGAAAGGATATTTGTTTTTTTGTTGACATATGTAGGTATTTTTCTTCGTATATGCAATTGTTTTTAAATATTTTGTCGACCTTTGAGTTTGTAAAATTCGTATTTCCAAGATTTTTCATATTTTGTCGAAACGAAAAATACGTATAMACTATTTCGCTTCAAAGAACGCAAGCAAAAATATTTTGCACGAAAAAAAATTATTTTAAGTAATTTTTGGGTAGATTTAAAACAAAATAATATTCATTTGACTCACCCTTTAATTCGTTCACGCAGCTACTGTTCAATTTATACATATGTATGTACATATACACACGAGTATCATACTCGCTCGCACCAAAATCTCACTGCTCTCATGCTCCCGGCCATTTCGTGCAACTGAAGGAAGCAGCGCAGCTAACAACCTAATTAGGCATTATTTTTTTGCACTTCTAAAACACTTTACGCTGGATAAACACATTTTCAATAGTAAATATTGCACTCATTAACTAATATTTATAAATTAGAGTTAATTTTAATACTTTCCACAGACAATATTATTAGTAATATGGYACTGCTTGGAAATCCACTCGAACCTGGTCACAATTAAAATAGGACTACAYATAAGAACTTCCTATGAACAGCTGTTGAAGGAAATTACTCTTTCTATTAGCTGGAAGTGGGCATCATAATGAACTTGGAGAAATAGTTAGGCAGCTTTTTGTATGCAGAAAACCAATGCTAAAAAGTATGCAACAAAAAGCATTACATAATGGAGCTTGTAAAAATATATGTATGTACATACATATAGAAATTTGCATAAATAAGGAAAAATAGATACAGATGAATTTGCCAACTAAGTATCAACGATATGAGCTATGTGTATACAGATGAAACTGTTTACTTTGAAGAAAATACTGAATTTTATAAAAAATCAATTAGCACGAAATTGCTCAGAAACATATCCCTAAGGCTGAAAAGTCTAAAATTATTATTTATGGCGAAAAGGGGCCGTGAGTGTTTGTGTGCTGTTCTCCTAATATAGCATTAAATGTAAATGTATGTTGATGAATGGCATGCCGCTAAAATGGGTCTTCTATCACGACMTTGATCCAAAATACACCAGTAGGCAGACACAGGCATGATTTCAGGTCAATTGAATTGAGATTATGGACTAGCCAACTCGATCTACTGATCTCAATCCCATTGAAACCGATTGTTTTTATCTAAAGAAATATAAGACCCGAAAACCACAAGCAGCTGTGTTTCAGGGTACATGGCGAACTACTRCTGTGCCCAAAAATATAAGGTGACATTTGAATTTAAACTGCATGCGTCGAAGCATTTGGAGAATTAGTTTTMTTTTTTTAGGTTGGTAGTACTATCAGTCACATTTGTGTCAAATTTCATCTCAAAATATTCATTAGTGTTTGAGATACGTGTCATTTTGTGAGCTGCTAAAAGTGAGTTTTTCGTTTTTTGCGATRTCGAAATTTGTTGAGCAGAGAATTTGCATTAAATGTTCATTTCACCAAAAACTCGTTCCGCAACCACCGTATTCACCTGATCTGGCGCCGTGCGACTTCTGGCTGTTCACCATGCTCAAAAGACCGCTCCGGGGACACCGTTTGTATACGACACTCAAGCCGCAGCGAAGACGGAACTGAAGGTCATCCCGGAAAGTGACCACAACCAGTGTTTCGAAGATTGGAAAATCCGTTGGCATAATGTACTACATCTAGTGGGGATTACTTTGAAGGGGATGAAATTGATTTGGAAGAATAAATAAAGAATTTTCAAAATAAATACAATGTCACCTTATATCAGAACAGGTGCGAGACATCTGTGGACTAAAAATAAAAGTCATACTACCAAATACTAAGTATAGGTTTAGACATATGCTGAAAAACATATAATATTTGAAAGATAATATAGGATTAGTTTCCCTAACGTATGCACTATTATATTAACGAAAAGCGTGGGTTTGTTATTTCCACTGATACTTATTTACCAAATTCATCTGTATCTATTTCACTCCATTTATGCAATTTGCTATATACACATATATATATTTTTGCAAACTTAATTTTGTAGTTATTTTATTGCATACTTTTAAGTGTTGGTTTTCTGCATATAAATAAGCTGCCTAACTGTTTCTCCAAGTTCATTATGATGCCCACTTCCAGCTAACAGWAAGAGTAATTTCCTTCAACAGCTGTTCATAGGAAGTTCTTATGTRTAGTCCTATTTTAATTGTGACCAGGTTCGAGYGAATTTCCATGCARTGCCATATTTCTAWTAATATTGTCTGTGAAAARTATTAAAAAGAACTSTAATTTATAAATATCAGTGAATAAGTGCAATGTTTTCTATTTAAAATTGTTTATCTCGTGTAAATTGTATTAGAAGTGCAAAAAATATTGTCTGCATATTTTGTTAGCWGCGCTGCTTCCTTCAGTTACACGAAATGGCCGAGAGAAGGAGGGTGGTGAGAGTTTGGTGAGAGCGTACATTTTTTACATATGTATTTACCTATCTATCCTCTGAATCAAATTAATATTATTTTGTTTTCATTTAATTTTTATGTGATAATACATACTTACATATGTATATGGGCCAAACCGCCCAAAATTCACATTTAACAATTTTTTCGTACAAAATATATTTGTTTTTGTTCTTTGAGGCAATATAGTGTATACGTATTTTTCATTTCGACACAATTTTAGAGTTTTGGAGTTATGAATTTTAAAGCATATTCGTTGAGTTTTGTAAATCTATTTTTTGATGCAATATTGTTTCGTGGAGTATTGAGATTGTGCATATTTTGTTTTGGAAGTTTCAAAAATTGCGCCAAGGCTGGGTTGTGAACCATCTCGGTGGCTACGTTATGAACCACCTGTTTTTAATGCTAAGCTTATATTAGAACTGTCGAATATCCTGAGATACTTTGAAACAGAATTTTTTAAATGTATTTTTATTATATTTTTATTACGTTTATATCTACTAATTTAATTTTTTTGTCATGTCTACTTTAAAATCTACCTCCATGACGCTAAAACAGTCTGTCGAATCCAAAGAAATGAACTTTACTTTTTTACTAGTGCGTTGTTGGATGCAAGAAAAGACAATCTGTTGAGGAAAACAACCATACGAGCGACTACCGTAAATCCGTAGTATGTGGAGTCAAGATGATCACAGTGACCCGTCAGCGAAAAAGTCTTCGACCATTTCAAGTATATTTCTGTCGTAAGTGATGTTGTTTTGTTTAAATTCATCCACATTTCGGCGAACAATTTTTAAACTTTTTTAAATCGTTTTATATCTGCATGTTGTGAAATAGTTTTCACAGCTGGCACTTTTCTTTATCCATACATTTATACAATTATGAGTGCTGCACTTCTGTTTTTCTGATTTTTATAAGGATTTGACCGGTGTTTCTCAACCCTTAAATTTCTTAAGCCATAAATCAAATCAAAATTGGCCACAGAAGTTTAACTAACGATAAAAACACAACTCTGGGCAAATGAAAAAGTTTCATTTTATATTCAGCTTTCAGAAAGAAATTTGGCATTTTTCCAAATCTTCGTACCATAAAATGTTATAGATCAACAACAAAACCTGGTTCACAACCCAACCCTCTCCCCTACAGTTTTATGAACAATATTTACTATATATGCTAAATATAATAATGCGCTATGCGCTTCGGACATTTAGACGAGATATCTTCGGCGAAATAGGTCGTTTAATTCGAACTTCTAATTCATGTCTATGAATACCTTAAAAGCAAATACTTACAATTATTTATAATATCAAACTACCAACCAATTAAGGACATGAATCTAGTTATCAAGGATTTGGGGTCAGAGAAATATGAAAAGGGTTATCATTTAGAAGATAGAGTCATGTGTAGAAGTTCACTCAAGTGGGGAAAGTTCTCAGTGCGCCATTTACTTGTGGGTGGTCAGAAATGATTATTTTATATATTTTTCAAGCAAAACTTAATTATTATTTTGACAACCTTTTGCCAATATTGCTTCTTTATTTTAATATTTTAACATTTTGAGACAGTCTTTCAATTTTTATTTTGTCATAAAATATCTTCCATATTTTTGAGAGCAATTTATTGTTTTAAGCGTAAAGCTAAATCAATATACGCTATTTTGAGCATTATACATTTATATGCATATATATATATATATATTACATAAATATCCAAATGGAAAAGCCAATTTGCCAAAATGCTGCCACTTAAACCAACCCCAATCACTGACCAGACAATAAAACAAAAAACGGCAAATATTAGCTACTTTGCCTAATTTGACTGCCATAAAAGTGTAATCAGACGTAAAGAATTATTACGGAAAGCGAAAAACTAACAATGAATTCGGTTCGAATGCCGTCTTTTTCCGTCTTCGCCAAAGCCCACAACGCTGAGTAGGCAGCTTAAACGCACACGACTTCGTTCATCTTGTTAATATTTTACAAATCGTTTTAGCACTCCTTCTTCTCCTTTTCTTCTATCCATTATTATATTATTCGTTTACGAAATTTCACTTTTGTTTGTTGGATTTGATTGGGAGAGACACAAAAGAGCAACCCAGTTGCACACTCCTTTTTAAGCTTGTTCACTTCCAAAAAACATAATATCTCTACAAATTGTTGCTTTGATTTTCTGGCATTTATAGGTGCTGTACATTTCGCATTAACCTGCATGTCTGAAATCTTTGAAAGGCAATAAGAAGAGTTAAATAAATAATGAGAGTATACTGGAGAATATTAGTAAACAACAAAAGCTTTTATTATATCATATTATACAGCATTCTTTGCAATTCATTATTTCCATCTTTTGCTTTTATGCTTTCCACTGCAATAATTTTCTTTGTTTCTGCTATCTATGTTTTGTCAAAACCATTTATTTCCACTTCATATCCAACTCTGTTCTCTCGACCAGTCTGCTCTCTCTCCTTCTCGTAATTTATCGCCTAACCATTCTCTCCACCCAGCATTAAAATGTGTGTGTTCCTTAATGCTTACTTTCGGACTACTGGGTGCGCTATACTAAGAGAAGCCTCCGAGAAAGAAATACGCCTTAAGCGAGTCCACAATACGCGTTATATAGATACCGTTGTTGTGCAGAGTGAAGATCAGATTTCTCAATGACATCGATTGCTGTAAGAAAAGTGGAGAAAAATTAACCTGGGAATTAGAAAATTCTTAAAAAATTTTAAAGTTTTTCATAGGGCTCTATCGACTAATAAATATTAGTAGAGGCTTCAATGCAGACAAATGATGTTTTATCTAAAATATTATAAACAAAAGCCTACCTCAAAAATATAATTTAGACCGCTCCGGGGACACCGTTTTTATACGATTCAAGCCGCAGCGAAGACGGAACTGGAGGCCATCCCGGAAAGTGACTACAACCAGTGTTTCGAAGATTGGAAAATCTGTAGGCATAAGTGGATTGCATCGGGAGGGGATTACTTTGAAGGGGATGAAATTTATTTGGAAAAATAAATAAAGATCTTCCAAAATAAGTACAATGTCACCTTATTTTTTTGGCCCAGTATATATGTATAYAAACTATTCAAAAGCAGTGTAATGTATAGAAATGTGAGTTAAATATGGACAAGACAACTGAACATTTCGACATTTCAACAACCAAAGTGAAACCTTTATATACCCTATGCAAAAGGCATAATTAAAAAATACAAAAAAATTTCTCAAGCTAGGTGCAAAAAAATCCAAAAGTTATATTATTGTTTGGCAAATGAATATTTATCATATCAATATTGCATACTCAAACACCGACCAGCCCCATCACCTTATTAGTTGCCAACAACATTACCTTATCTCTTTCACAGATGCTACCGGTTAGCAATTTAGGATTTTGTTGTCGCTCAATTTTACTTTAACAGCGACCAGCATCAGAATCCCAAAGTCAAGAAACAGTCAGATTCCCGTCCCGTTCTTCTGAGGAGTGAAAATGTGCTGTCTGTCGAGTTGTCTTCGTTACTCGAATTCTATATGGATGCCTCTCTAAGCAGTTTACTTCCGTTTCCTCATAGAAAAATTGTATATTAGTAGCTTTGAAGTATATTTAGTTCAGAAAAGGGAAACAGAAAACGGAAACTCGTAATATGCTGGAACTTCGGCATCTACGCATCTTTAGATAGCGAGGATAATGTAAAACGTGTTCAAAGTCTTCTGTGGACTCCGTACACATAGAAAAATATTGAAAGATGTCATTTTGAAATTTGTTTGTTGCCTATGAAGCTCTCATATCCGCTTAATATTTGGATCAGGTGGAAATTCATCACAACAACACGGCTGCGTGTGGTTTTAATTATTAGGCAAAAAGTTGAAAACATATATTATATAAGAAAATAACACCATATGCTATATCAATACCAATATTAACACAAATCAGTTAGGTAACAAGTTAATAAAGCAATTTCGTCCCACTCACGAATGTTTCACTAAGAAATCGTTAACACTTAGTAGGAGTATAACGGAAGCATATGCATGTATATGCAAAGTAGTATGATGCCATTATGCATAAAATTCACATTTCATATTCACAATATTGATATTAAGAACTATAAAATATTTTGGTCACGTTTCCAGCTCAATTGCCAATTAGAAAAATTCCAATTCACTTTATAATACCTAGAAAGCTGCTGAACAACAACAAAGTAGGTATAATAAAAAGGTGCGTGTATACATAGAAGTTTTTTAAAAGGAGCCCGCCAAAGGACGAATATCCACAGCGGAAACCGCCAGGCAAACAACCGAAACGGAAGCTGATTTGTAAACCTATACAAGTGACGAACGGCACGAGGCAAGAAGCTGGCCTTCACGCGCAATGAAAACGGCAGCGAATATTAAGCGAACACATAGTAATTCGATAGAAATATAAGAAAATATAAATAAAAATAAAAAAAAAGATTGTAAACGAAAGTTGTGAAAAAGGTGAAAAACTGTTTGAGCCTTGACGAGCGCCAAAAGAATTCACCCATCAAATATTTTGCTCACGTTTCGCCGTCAAATTATTACCAAGAATTGTAAGTGTGCGTGTGTGTGTGTCGTTGAAGGCGTGTTTTGAGCGGCAAAGAAAAATACAATATTGTTTAAATTTCTTGCGGACGTGCGCGCGCCAAACTATTCAAAACAATTTGGAGTGAAAAAATTAAACAAAAAGGCATACCAAAAGCATTCAGCCCGAAGAAAGGTGCTATAAAGCGCCAGCCCATGTACCAAGAAAGTGGCCTGTGCTTCACGTAGTCAGAAAAAGAGTATGAGTGAAAGCGCAAACTTCTCAATAATAATTTAGATCGATTATTTTGACTCTCTAAACACAATTTTTTGCTTTCTACATATATTGTATCAATGTCTGTACTTACCTCCATTCTGCTGAGTATCTGCGCGAAGGCCGGTCGTTGTATATTATTCACGAATTTTCTAAACTTATCATCCGATTCGAGCTTATCGAAGAAAGTAGCGAGTATTTGATCCTGTGGCAAGATTTCCAAAATACTATCGACCAGACCATGCAAACCGTTGAGCTGTTCAGCTTTCTGCGTTATGGCCTCATCGAAATTGGAAACTGCTGTAGGTGCTTTTGTTGAAGTTACCGATAGTGCTTCTTCGAAGACGATTGCTGGCGATGTTGCGGTTGCTGAAGCATGTTGTTCCATGCGAGAGATTTCTGCAAATTACGATAAAAATAGTGCTAGCTGAGTACAATATTTTGTATAATTATGTATCTATCGTTTTGTGTCTGTAAAATGTATCGGTTTTAAATTGATTTAGAATGAGTTTTGAAGACTGTATATTTCTAAAGCTTAAAGTGTAAACAAAGAGATGGAGATAAGAAAGCTAACCAAACTATAAACTTTGGTTAACATATTTAAAAAAATTGCAGTTATGCCAATAAAAGCTTCCAAGATCTTATCTCAAACAATATTTATTATTTAAATAAGAGTTAGTAATATTTGGTTGAATCCAATATCTATCTTGCGAAGCTAATTCGCTTTTAGTTGCCCATGATCTAAAATTATTTTGATATACTTTTTTATATACTGTACTCTTCTAAGGGATTCTAGGGGAGACAAGAGAGATACACATATATATGTTCACACTATAATTATGTAAAAGAACTCTGCAACATAACCCCTATGGAAGGTATCGACATAAAATCATGCCAAAAATGTAAATTTTAATTGCTTCAACTTTAGTCAAGCGAAAGCTGGACAGTGAAGTAGAAATTGTTAACATGTTTCTACTTCATCCTCCTCCCTGCAATTTTGAAAAGTTGCGTACTCCAAAATATTTAGCCTTAGCGTGTATTTTGCCTACTGGACAACGTCAATGGACCGGTGTCCATCAATTAAAGAGCTCGGTATAAATTAAGTTGGGTTAGATAAATAGACTGATATTCGAGAAACCACGAACAATTTCACTTGGACTGCTAAAGACGCTTGTCCGTTGTGATGCCCAGAAGTCTTAAGTACGCATCAATGCTGGTTGCTGACAAGAGCTTGCTCAGCTCGGCGGAGGCCCACCAATTGAACACCAGCATGTTCTCATCCTAATGAGATTTGGTTAAGACTGTATGGTCAGGCACACAGGCAAGTACAATATGAAAATAGCGTAATGTCGCAGATAGCGAGGTCCAGCACTCCTTGAATACATAGTCCTTAGCTCACTGTCAGCGAGCTCAAGGCTTGTATAGCAGCTGTGCTTGAGGAGTGAATGCGTATCTCCCTAAATTAAACCACATTTTGTTGAGAAACAGTTGCTGCAACCTAAATACCTATTACTTCTGCTTGAAAGATACTTCAGTGGTTCGGCAGTCTGAAACGAAAGTGACTTTGATCTATTGGTGAAAGAGCTAACTGATCCTGCAGAAGCCACTTCGCCCTATCCACATTAAAGGTCTAAGTATCTTTTAAGTCTATAGGGTTTTTAAAATGGTCAGTTATTTTATTTAAAAAAAAATGTATTAGTTATTGTTTTTGAAGCCTAACCTTTTCAACCTCGAACATTTGATATACGTGAACCCGAAAGGAGAAATAACGCCGCGATATAAAAATGGAGCCCAATTCCTGCTTAATGTGGTTTGATTAGAGAAGAAGTAGAAATTCCGAAACTCGAAAATCTTCACTGGAGCAGAATATTTAATCTCCAACATTCAGTTAGTTTGTTAAATTAAAGTCGGATATCGAACTTAAAGAATTTTAGCAGAAATATTTCCGCTTCGAGGCCATCAATTTGCTTGTAATCATTTTTGAAAAGGATTATACTTGAAATAAATATATACTGACACACACACAAGCGAATTAAAAATGGTGATTGGTAGGCGCAATAATAGTCYTGCCCGTCTGGCTATTTTATCAAGTGCACGCTCGTACGCGTTTTGCGCTAAAATAATTCAGGTCATGACCGGATCACATTACAGTGCCACGAGCACACATAGCGGCTACATTGCATTGTTGTACGCGCTGCAGACAGAAATCCACTCGAACGAATGAAGCGAATGCATGTACGCGCAATTATATAAGTACCGTAACTGCAGTCAGACCCAGACCCAGACCCGTATATGTACGAGTGCATGCATTCTGGCTCAATGCGAGCTGAGTACATGAACCATGACATTGAAAACAACTCAAATAAAACCATTGAAATGAGTACAGACGCGCGGTTATCGCATTGCGCTGCATGTCAGAGAGACGGACAAGGACTCTTGTGAGCACATATTACTTTTAGACAGTTAATTTACGTGATATACCTTTGGAAGGTTATGAAAATTATTTTTGCGAGCATTTAAAGCTCATAATTGAATATATAGAAGCTATGAGAGCGACAGTGGCCCGCACGTGATGTCTGCTTTTAGGCGCTTAGCGTGCCGTTGATAACTTAACTTTGAGCAGACGGTCAAAGCGCGCACCTGAGCTGGATAAAAAGTGTTGTTTTAAAATATTATGCAGAAATTTTACAGAATTTCCGCACTTTTGTCTATTTGGGGATGCCTCTAACCCAAATCATCAAAAAATTAGTCCTACCCACACTCACCATTCACCGCGAGCACAGCTGCACTGTTATGCTTAGCCGTCAGCTGGCGCTGCTGTTCTAACTCACTGTTCCCGAAACCGAGCGCATCCGAGTCCTCCACGCTGCGCGCATTCACCGCCACCTTAGTCAAATTCGCAATGGACGAGACGAATTTCAACACATCAAAGCCGCTCACATTTAGATATTGCAAAAAGGCGCCCACTTCCGGTGAGKCGACAATATGCTGACGCAGCGCAATAAAATCGGGTCCGCTCAGATAGGCGTAGGCGCGACGCACTTCCGCATCGTTATTATAATAATTGGTGGCAATCGATTTGACCTCTTCGGTCGGTATTAATGAAATGAAATCACTCATATCAATTGGCGGCACCGGTTGTGGCACAGTGTGTGGCCCATCTGCCAGACGCAACAATACACCGTGGAGGAGCACGCCGTCGGCAATAATTTCATCGGCTGCTGCCGCATTAACGGCATCCACATCGGTGGTTTTGATATCGAGCGCGTGGCCCACCTCATCTGCCGCTTCGCTGTCGCTGTCCGAGCTGAACGGTTCCTGTTGGTAGGAACTACCCAACGCTGTGGAATCGGACGGATCACCTATAGCGGGTGCCGCGGCGGCAGCAGAGACTATTGAATCTTCACGCGCGGCAGCTGAGGACAACAATTCGCTCTGTTGTTGATAAGTCTCGTAGGGATGATTTGATTTGCGCTGTTGTTGTTGGTAATCTGTTTGTTTTGGTTTCGTCTCTAGCAGTATTAAATCATCCAATGTGTCCAACACTGACTCATTAGCCACATTAGTTGGTTGTTGTTCGTTGTCATTTGTTGTTGCTGTGCTATTCTGGCATAACTCGTGGAGTCCCTGTCGCGTRCAACGTACAATTTCTTTCACAACAATCAGTTCGGTGCCGTCGGTGGTGTAACCGCTGCTAGGTCGACAGTGCAACGCTTGAGGGAATAGGGTCAGCAGTAGGTGGAACAATATGCAGGTTGTGGTACCGCTGGAACTTCGAGACAGTTGCGCAAACATTTTTGTTTTTGTGTCTTGTTGATATTGTTTTGGGAGAGGAATTTTGGTTTTGCGGATGAACCGATTTATATACTTTTTCAGTCTATAGCAATTTTTATAGGTTASAAAAGTTTACATTTCGTTAAATTCCATTCGTTGTTAGCCTTTCCATTTGCTTATTTCATCGTTTATAAAATATTTTTTCTTTATATTTTTCAATCTGGTTTGTGAAAAATTATTGAGTCCAAAAAATTAAAATTTTTTTTTTTTTTGAAAATTTCACAAAATATTTTTCACTTTTCGTTTTCAATATTTTTGTTTTTTTCACCTACAAAATCGCTCACTCAAATATTTTCACTCCCCACAAAATATTTCTTCTTTTTACTTTATTCTCTGCCTCTCATGGCAGAGGTTTCACTGTTGGCAACACTTAATTTAAATACAATATTAATTCGCCTTGTAAATTTAAAATAATATTTCCTTCAATCTTTTATTCTTGTACTATTTTRTTTAGCTTTTTATCCGCTCACTCGCTTTGAAGTCTTTTGCAACATCCGCTACTCGACCGCCACTCTCATTTGTTGCTGCTATGATACTGTCGCTTATTGTCAATTTCGTAGCCTTTCATCGTTGACTTCCACGGAGCGCTTCAATTTAAATTTATTACAACAATCATCATTTATTTAGTTAAATTTAATTTAGTTGCATAGTGAATTCACAATATAACTAATACAATTTGTAATGAATGGAAAATGGCGCAATTGCCTTCCGGTTGTGACCGCTCTGAACTCGCAAAACGTTGATTATTTACTAAAAGTTTGCTTTAAGTTGTCTTTTATATATTAAGTAACTGTAGTTTGTAATATCAATAATATAACATCTCATTGAAGTTAGTTAAGGAAAAGTCTTTCATTTATACTGCAGTTTTCCTTTACATTTATTTTTCTGCTCAGTGTATTCATCGGCATATAGAAACTCAAACTAAAGCCCAAGAGAAATGGTTGAGAATTCCTATAACAAGTAAAATAATTCAATAAACCTAATTTTCTTTTGCTTTCGATTTCATAACTGATGAACAAAAATCCCAAATTTGAATATCAGTTTTTAGTGTAGTAAAACTTTGGCCATTGGCGATTGATGCTTAGAAGTTTGGAAGCAAAAATAAGGTACACCGGGCCAAACCTGAAAAATACGGTATATAAGACAGCAAGTCTTTTTCTAATTAGACTATTTTGTCTGTTGCATGAAGTCTGGAGCATATTCAATGGATGGGTCCGGTTCTTCGTCTATTTATTGTTCCCTGGTTGRTAAAGTACTAAACAGACGTCGCACACTGATGGGAAGTATTATCATGATTGATTCAAAATGAACATTTTCCTAACGTTATTCTCCGTTTTCAGAACACTTGAGCGTGAATCATTATAAACTTATGAGTTATCAAACTATAATTTTATAAGTTGTCAAAACCATTTTCTGCCAGTCGCTATAGAATWAACAGAGCCACCATACACAGTAGCCATTTTTTTTATTTTCATTGCGGAGTTTTAGCGGAATGTTTTACTATATGTCCACTTTTCTAAAAACAGCGAACATTCTTTTTTCCACAAATACTTTTTTAGTTCTTTAGTATTGTCACCAAAGTTCTCAATCAGACAACTGCATATGGCAGATAGCTGCCATAGAGCTGACCGAATAAGGTCAAGTCCATGTATAGAAAGCTATTTTATGTATTTGCTACAAACTCCGAATATATTATTCAGGTCAGACCATTATAGCATAAAGCTAACATACAAAAGGACCGATTAAAACGAGTGTAAACATTTTTTATACCCATCATGCATTAAATGCAGCTGTGAAGGATATTATAACCTCCGATCAGTGGAACTTATCGTTTTTCTCCAATTGGAGAAGAAGAGTAACCAAGTTCTTTCCAACGGAGTGCAGGTCTTTCTCTTCAAAGAACCATAAATAAGTCTTTCGCAGAAACTTTCTCTCAAAAACTCATAACGCCGACTCAATAGATGTTGTCATCGTCCATGCCTCTGCACGATATAGCAGAACGGAGATGATTAATGACTTATAGAGTTTGTTTTTTGTTCGTTGAGAGAGGACTTTACTTCTCAATTTTCTACTTATTTCGAAGTAACAGCTGCTGGCATGAGTT